CCAAAAGAATGGGTGGGACTATACAAATAAGGGCCCTGAGGCCCACTCAAAGGGATTGGACAGCTTGCCACTAATGCAAATAAGGTATGTCTGATATCCCTGTGGAGGTGGGGCCATGCAAATAAGACCTAGGAACCCCTGAGAGGGCTGTCAACATGCTAAGGTTAAAATAAGGCATCCTACAGGTGGACGGAGGACCTGACTGCCATCAAGAAACAAGAGTGGGGAAAGAGTGTGTCTTGGGGTCCATGTGCTGGGAACCACCTCATCCCAGAAGTCAGCGCTGCATCACTGGAAACAGCGAGAGGCAGCAAGAAGTTGTGGACAATGGCAGGGGTAGCAGAACAGGGAGGTCAGCATGAGACAGTGCAATGGACTTCCGGGCACACGGAGTGATATAGCTGCATGTCGTCTGGCAGGAAGCTGGCTGGTGGAGTAGGTGTCCTTTGGGCACTTACAGTTAGAGCTAAAGAACTTTGAAACATTTACTAGAGCGGGGCAGGCTGCTCAGAGTGCAGAGGCTGAGGGACAGGGAAGAAGCACAGCGGAGAAGAGGCTGTCTTTACCAAAGAACTGTATCCTGCACCTTTCCTGATCCTGAATGGTAACTGGTTATTTCCCTAGTAAATTCCATCATCTTGAATATTTTCAGTTAAGTTTTATGTCACCACTGCATGATGATCAAACCCCGCAGAGAAGTAGAGAGTGCTGCGAGGGACAATTGGTGAGAGAACTGGTAAAAAAATCTGGAGAGAGGAGGTATGCCTGGCCTCTGCTTCATAAAAATCAGCTGGACTGATGCTCATGCTCATTCTCTCTCCGCCTTGGAAGGCAGAGGTCAGATGTCTCTATCATGTCATTCTGAAAGCCAAAGGTGACATTCTAAGGGCACTTTTCCTGACACTGGGCATGTACATGATGTCTCCAGATCCTTCCTAGAGCTGTAAGTCTCCTCAGTCACAGGAGTTTCGGACCTCAAAAGAACCTGTTTTAAAAATTCATAATTACTTTGCGCTAATAAATGTCAGCTGCTCAAAACAGAAGACAATGGAACAATGCCCTCACCCAACTGTAAAATGCCTTTTAAAAATGATTCATAGATTTGAGTCCAACATTTCAAGAAGCTGGCAAGATAAGAAAGCCGCGTTGGTGTACTCGTATGTGCATCTAATTTCAGAGCAGTAACTGGATACCAGAGGTCACCAATGTGAAGTAGCCCAAGTAATGCAGTAAGGGGAGACGAATTTCCGCTTTCCTGCCTCCCTTAGCCAAGAGGAACCTTGTCCGTTTTGTGAAACAGGTTATTTTATTTACTTAACAGTCTCTGGGCAGGAAGGGCCTGGGGGGGGGAGGGGGGGGGGGGGTGGCAGCCAAAGGCAAGAGCAGTCTGCTCAGGTGTTTCTACTGTTTACCGCCACCTTTTACTATTAACACTGTTTTGTTTTTTCCAGAAACGATCAGTCCTAACAGGGAGGCATGGCAAAGCAAGTAATACCAAGTGTTAATGTTACCTACAGAAGCAAACCTTACAACAACTGCCCGGTCTCCGGGGAAGCAGAGTGCTTGCCTCAGACGTGCCCACCAGGATGGCAGACAGGAGGGCCCTCTGGAGTGAGCACACACGGTCAACATAACAACCCACTATGCAACCCTTCCAAGGTCAGGCCAAGTGTGCCAATTAAATTAGATCATGCTTTCTTTCCCTTCCTCCCTATTAAGTCAGAAAGAACATTACCAAGAAATACACAGAAATCATTTATTTTGGCTTTGAATGAAATCCTCCCTACCCACCCCCATCTCCAGTTCAACTTCTTATCTTTTGGCTCTCTACCAAAATGCTTTTCTCTGGATAATCTCTGCATTTCAGTTTTTTAACAACAGAGTTAATTTAGCTATAGATTTCACTATAGCTATATCAGGACCCCCATTTCCCTTAAAACAACAATGGAATGATAAGGTAGCAGAGCAAAAAGCTCCTTGAGTTGAAATAAAGAGATACCACCAAAAGAAAAAACCCAGACTATTCCACAATCTTCTTTCTTGCTATTGTTGGCTACCACCAAACCAACTCTGACACACTGCCTGGTCCCGTGCCATTCTCACAAGCCTGCTCTTCCTGCGCCCTCCGCCTCACCCACTGCTGTCCACCCAGCTCCTTGTGGGGTTCCTTCTTTACGCTCAGTCGCTCTACTTTACCAAGCACACGCAATGCTCCAGAGGCTGGTCCCTTCTGAGGACGTGTCCTCAGGACGCGAGACGATGGAGCTTCTTTAAGAATAGGCATTCAGGTTCAGAGTAAGAAGGAAAATAATGCATACCACATAAAACAGAGCACTTCTCCGACTTTACAAATGTTTATCTTCTCCTACGTGGATATCACCACTATCTATAAACTTAGTAACTGCTACGGATGGAAAACATTTTCCAAGCAAGCCAATTAATCCAGGCTTATCTATACAAACCATAATTTGGGGTTATTTTCCTAAACACTGAACTATGCGATAAGCTCAGTCACAGGGGGCAAATTGGACTGCATATTAAACAGGAGCTACAGAAAGCTACAGAGGCTCATCTGAAGCAATGGGAAGAAGTGTAACCTAGTATCTTACATTTTAAAGATGTTACAAATAATCAAATCACTCCATCCTCAAGACAGGTTTTACCCTTGCATCCACCACTATTTACAGATATAACTGAATTGTGAATTAAAAGTGCTTTTGGTTTGAAGCTTATTATTAAGAATTAGGTGAAGGCTTACAGAGCAGATCATAGTTTTACATTCAATAATTCATTTAAGAGTTTTTAAAAATATTTCGGCTACTTTTGAGATTTAAATTCTCCTCTATCAGATCCTAATGCGTATTTGTCTTAAGGCGAAATTCACCTTATAGAACAAAAATCACCAATTAAAAAATGTTACGGTAAATCGATTAAGTTCACCAGGGAGAACAGCAGATAGATATGGAAACAGGACTCATCAATATGCTGTCTGCAAGAGACACACCTTAGACACAAAGACAAAAACACACAGAAAACAAAAGGACGTGAAAAATATATCAAACTAATGCCAATCAAAAAAGAATGAGTGGCAATATTAAATATCTGATCAAATAGACTTTAAGGTGAAAACAAGCATAAAAGACAACGAAGATATGCTTAACTTAAAATTCTTAATAGCTAACACATACCCTGTCACCACAGAACAGTTACAGAAACCACAGAAGGGAAAGCTGGGAACTATCTGAGGAGGGACAGAAATGTGCTCAGAGCATGTGTATTTGTTTCTATCTGCAAACTGAGCTGCTGCTGAGTTTCACAGCAGATCCTAGGTGGTGAGCCAAAACACACCAACGGTCAGTTTCACGGGGGGATGAAAAAGACTTGGACTGAAAGACAAATGGCCGTCAGGTGTAGGGAATGAAATACAGGCTTTTGGCACACCAGCCTGTGCGATCACGAGGTGCCGAAGGGATCAGTTATCAGGCATCAAAGAACAAAAAATCATATCATTGTGTGCTCACCTCCCTGATACGATCACTGAAGACAAATAGGTGCATAAGCAAATGTGACGAAGAAAGCTGATGGTGCCCGGTTATCAAAAGGTATAGCATCTGGGGTCTTAAAGGCTTGAAGGTAAACAAGCAGCCATCTAGCTTGGAAGCAACAAAGCCCACATGGAAGAAGCATACCAGCCTGTGTGATCATGAGGTGTCGAAGGGATGAGGTATCAGGCATCAAAGAACAAAAAATCATAGCATTGTGAATGAGGAGGAGTGGGGAATGGGGACCCAAAGCCCATCTGTAGGCCACTGAACATCCCCTTACAGAAGGGTCACAGGGAGGAGACAAGCCAGTCAGGGTGCAGTGTAGCAACGATGAAACATACAACTCTCCTCTAGTTCTTAAATCCCCGCCCCCCCAACACACACACACAACTATCATGATGCCAATTCTACCTTACAAATCTGGCTAGACCATAGGATGTACACTGGTACACATAGGAACTGGAAACACAGGGAATCCAGGAGAGATGATCCCTTCAGGACCAGTGGTGTGAGTGGCGATACAGGGTGGGTAGAGGGAGGGTGGGTTGGAAAGGGGGAACCAATTACAAGGATCTACTTATAACCTCCTCCCTGGGGGACGGACAACAGAAAAGTGGGTGAAGGGAGACGTCGGACAGTGTAAGATATGACAAAATAATAATTTATAAATGATTAAGGGTTTGTGAGTGAGGGGGAACTGGGAGGGAGGGGAGAAAATAAGGAGCTGATGCCAGGGGCTTAAGGAGAGAGCAAATGTTTTGAGAATGATGAGGAAGAATGTACAAATGTGCTTTATACAATTGATGTATGTATGGATTGTGATAAGAGTTGTATGGGCCCCCAATAAAATGATTAAAAAAAAAAAAGAAATACAGGTTTCTGTCACTCAATCCGCAAACTCAAGCTCTTTCTAGTTCAGAACTCAACAGGCTCTTCTGGGGCAGTTTGCACATGCTCTGCAACTAACATCCCAGCGGCCCACTTCCCAAGTCCACATCCCCTCCCCATCCTCTTACCCTCAGGAACCCCAGGGCTCCGAAGAGGAGTTGGAAAGTCGCTGTTCTAAATGTGGAGAGGCCATGGTCAAACAGCTCTATTGCTAGAGTCTCTAGTTTCTTGTAGAGAAGTGGCTAATTACTGCGTGGTAAGGTGTCTGCTGAAGCTAGGTTCCTCGTGCCTGAGTATCTCACTTCTTGGGCTCCTGAACAACGTCCAGGTTTCTAACCGGTCTAGGACACAGTGCCTATTGCGCTTTCCCCATCCGGAATCCACTTGTTAGAAATCAGGGGAATGGACTCTAGGAAAGAACTGGGTGATTAGATCCCACAAAAGGCTGCCCCCGTGTATCTACATAACACGTGCTGAGATACTCCATGGTCGTCGTCTTTCTTGGCGTGAGATCCTAAACACTGAAAAATCAAAGTTCCTTAAAAGGGTTTTCCCTCCTTGAGATAGTTAAGCTCTGTTGCGCCAACCTGGCCGAAAAACACGTGGGGTTAATTGAAGGGCGGAGAGATAAATGGCTCGGTGAGCCTGACCTTTCTTGTTCTCTGATGGTCAGACCAGTGTGCGGCTGCCTTAGCTAGTTCCCTGCCTCCACTGGCAAGGCTCACTTCCTGTGAGACATCCCTGAGGAGAAGCCACATGAACCTACCCGGATGCAGCCCTGGGTGCTGGAGAAGCCGCGCTGCCAGCGCTGAGATGCTTACACACTCAATGATTCGGCTTTCTTCCTGCAGTCGGCATCATTGGGTGTGTTTTGCGAGTTTAAGGAGGACTTTGTAGATTGGTGTCTGGCTAACGTCGGACTTATGGGCTTGGACTGGACTGGGTTGGGATGCTTTCTTCATGTATACTTACCTTTTATATAAAACTCTCTCTTATATACATATGAGTTTCTGTGGATTTGTTTCTCCAGTTTACCCAGACTAACACTCCCCTAGTATTAACAGCCATCTTTAAAAGTCTACTCTCAAAAATTTGGAAGCATATACAAAGTGTGAACCAGGGAGGGTTTCATTTTCCTCTTTTTATTTAGGAGCCCTGGTGGCATAGTGGTTAAGCTTTGAGTGCTAACCAACCAAGCAGCCCGTGGTTCAAACCTACTTGCTGCTACTCAGGGGGAAGATGTGGCAGTTTGCTTCTGTAAAGACCTACAGCTTGGAAACCTTCTAGGGTCAGAATCAAGTTCACAGCAGTGATAGGTTTGGGACTTCTTCCCGTTTTTATCTTTCTACAATTCATATATTACCTGTGTCTTATTTTTTAGCCTACTTGCTATCGTTTACTCATGACTTTTCCCTGGGTTTTAATTCATCTGGATAAAACTGCTCAAAATGGTACCCAAGGATATTTTCCTCTTGGACTTTCCAATATCTAGGGAATCTTTTACAGATACCTAAAGCCTGTTTTGGGATTCTCCGCCCCCAATCCATTCTCTTATACCGATGCTTCTGTCTTTCACTAGGGTTGGTACAACAGATGAAAACATGTCAACTGCTATGAATAAAGCAAAGGTCCTGGCAAAGGGCACCTCGCCTTCTCAATGGCTAAGGAAGTTCTCATGCAAAGAGGTCTAGCAGCTTCGACATGGATGGGAGTGAATCGAAGAAACCAGAGTCAGCACAACAAATCTTGGCTTAAAAGTCAGCCTGGAACTTCAGGCAATGCCATGCCAATTATCGGAACTCTCAGATCACACCTGACCCTGGGATTTTACTCCACAACAGTTGAATCAATGGAACCAATTCTGGGAAAATCCTCCAACTGGGGAAGCTTTCCATCCCTGTCTCGAGTCGGAACAGACTCCACTCGGTCTGAGTCCCTATCATCTATGGGCGCTCACCTTTGTGGCCATGGTCTTCACCCCAGGAATTCTCCACTCGCCATTTCGAGAACGCGCCATCCTGTTCATCCTGCAAGAGATGGCCATAGAGTGTGCAAGCAGGCTCTCTGCTCATGAGGTACCATGTAATTTTAGCCCTTGTGAACCACTCAGAGGAAACAGGCTACTCTACACAATCACGATATTCATGACCAGGGACATATATTTCCTACTAAAAGGGAAATATTTCAGTTTGAATCTCTGGGGTAACAACATAATAAATACTATCATTTATAATCAATTATGTTACATATAGAAAATAAGCCTGTTTAAAAATGCTGCTTGGATAAGGAAATACTAAATTAAGAAAAACAGTAAACACCATTTGAAGACAGACTCTTGTTTTTAATTAATCTGAGTTCTTTGCAAAGGCATCCACTGAATTTACTTTAGAAATGATTCTAAGACCTGGTCAGAGTTTGTTGTTGTTTTAAACTACATTCTCATCATGCTGTTTGTTTTTCTAATTAGGAAAATTAAGTAGTGGTATTCTTTGAATGTGTTCTTTCACTGATTCCGTTACAAAAAGATGGGATTGTAATATAACAGGGAATATCAAAGCAAAAGCAAAAAGACCATTTCATAGAATAAAACCCAGGCAATTCTACTGTCCTGACTCTCTTGCTCAATGATACACAGAGAGACAAGAGGAAGGCTCCACTTGGCAAAACTTTGCTCTCTCAGGTTTGCTCAGGGCATTTGCTGATGTCAAAATAACAAAATCCTTACAGCCTGAGAGGAGAGCTGGCCCAGTATTATCTCCTAATGATTCCAAACCCATCAGCTCCCACTTACACATAACTGCATGACAAGTCTTATCTACAAGGCATTTGCTTTCCTTTGGCCCTGCTAACTTGAACACTATACTCTCACTATCGTTCGCTTGGATCTCAGTAATAGCCAACAATCTATCACCCACAAGTCTTAAACACCCTTACTTGTACTGCTATCTTAATTTTGGCCCCAGGAACCTTCAAAATCATGTCGTTGACTTCTATGTTCTGAGGCTAGCATATCAAAGGTCTGTTTAGGGTTCCTATTCCCTTACTGTACTCTCCACCTTTCCTTTCTACATATAACTTATAGAGTCTATACCACCTAGAGTCATTTACTTGTTTGAAGTCTAAAAACCTCCCTATGGTTTCTTCTGTCCATAAATTCCTACCTGACCTACGCCAATTGTTTCCTGTGTCTTTCATAAATTTGGGTTGATAATATTTGGCACTCCCTCCCCTCAGGGATTCTAAGAAATCAGGAACAGAAAATAATATTCCAGAAACATGAGGGGCTCCAAAAAGCTCATGGAAAAATGGAATTATAAGGTAATGGAATTTTCCCACATTTTTGACGTCCCCTTCACACAAATACTAACATGCATTTATGTTTGCATTATTATTCAAATGCTATTCACACTAGTTTTGGTGGTCAAAAACTCAAATACAAAATTCCAGTTATGAATGTATAAATTCTGCTTTATATTCTTGGTATGTATGATGGCTCCATTTCCCTGAGGAAAAATAGCATGTTACAAGCCATGCCAGTCAAGGATTAACAGTTCCAGAGAAAATGGCATAAAGTATACTTGATTTTTATTTCTGAAAAACAGGACTACTGTACAACGGAGATGGCAATGACCAAAAGCAAAACTTCTCTTGCAAATTAAAATGGCTACTTTTTGTGTGCTATTAAAAAAAAACTGCTCTTTAAATAGTTACTGAAAGTTTAACTCAATAAGCTATAGTTTAATAACAAATTCACTTAATTTTATAATTCAGCAGGTCTAAGCATATAAACACAAACAACTTACTCAAAATTTTACTCTGGAAAAGTTACTTCTACGATTTTCTTTCATGTAAAAAGGCAGTCTTATTTAAAATAACAGATCATGACCTAATTCTATGCTTTGTTAATAATGCAAATGTGAGAGTTCGTTAAGCCTAGCTGAGAAAGCGTTTAGATCACTTTTTGCGATATTCAAATGGCTTTCCTGACCTAGACAGGTCATACCAATTGTACTTCACCCTTACTGAGTCACCTTGACCGGTCTGTTTCTTGGTGTCGCAGTCCTGCTAGTTCTAGGATGTGAACGAACGCCAAGGGGTGGAAAGCCAAGGAGAAGAGTCCACTGGTCTATAGACCTTCAACCTCTGCACTATTTTAACGCGAGGATCTGGAATGTCGGCCTAGGACTGCCTCATTCGTTCAAGGTGCTCTTACGCCACACCTTGGGAAATCGCAACGGAAACTGCAAATGCCTCTAAACGACCACTTACAGCCCTAGCCCTGTGATTTGTATGCACGTAAAAAGGTCTTCCATAAGACTGGGTTTTGAGTAGGTAGCAAGCATGAGGCTCTTAGACTGGCGGGGGGTGGGGGTGTCACATGGGGCAAAGGAAAGACGGTTATTGTGTGAATGGAGGGGAACTCAGCAATGGAGGTGAGAATGGCTGCCCAACTCAAACGTAATCAGTGGTGCTGAACTGCACGTGTAGAACTGATGCATGTTTTGCTGCGCGACTCTCAACGGAATTACAAAATAAAGAGTAAAAGTAGTTGAAAGTCTTCTTTTCCCTGTCATCCCTGAGCACGAGGTAATGTCTATTCCACAGTCGACAAGTGGGAGGCTTACCGGTGAAAAGACAAACTTGCAGTTGTTTCTAACCCTGTGTTTTAGATAGTGACATTAATATTCAGAGTAATATAGGAAATTCAAAGTACAAAGGGGCTTCCAAAGGTTAGTGAAAAGAGCCCACGAGCCCATGAACGCTTGAAGCCCCTCATACAGTTTCCTGAAGCCTTGCGCCTAGCCAGAAATGAACAAGAAGCCTACAAACGACTGTATCGATGCCGCTACAGTTTACTGCAGACGAATCTGAAGGGTGACTACAAGTCTGAATACAGTTCATCCAGATGTGAGCACCAAGACACCCTTTGGACACATTTTAACTCCAAGAAATAAGTTATCTTTCCCCAACTTTCCTTACTGACCTCTCTTCCCACCAAGAACTTCCACAACTATGGAAAAGCAGTTACTTCCTTACGCCCGTGGCCCAAATTCTGCTGCGTCTGCAAAGTTCCTACTTATATTATCTTCGCGTACGCAGCCAAACCCCAAAGTGACGCAGGTACAAAGTCTCACTTGGAAGCTGACCTTGAAAGGAATCACATACACAAGCGAAGCTCTGCTGGAGAACGGGTTGGCAGGCGAACGCGCACGCATCCGTGCAAACATTGCGGCAGGCGTGCTGAGGGTCATACCTTTTCGGAGAAAGCCGTGAAGGTCATGGCGTGGGTCATGAGGGACTCGCCAAAGGTCAGCCTCTCAGCTTTGCTCATGTTCTTCAAGGAGACCCCAAACACTAATTCGTGGTCGTAGCTGTACGGAGAACGACGGCACAACGTCAAGCGAGCGCCACCTTGGGGGAAGCCGGCTTCTGTTATGACGGGAACATCGGGGATCGGAAGGGCTCACTAACTCCACAGCAATCAATGCGGCCTCCAGCCCAACCGCTTCAGAGAGAACAGGGCGCACACACGATGGAGTCTGTGAGTGGGATTCTATGGCCTATATGTCATAAGAGTAGCCTAGGAAATATAAAATGATTAAACACAAAGTCCTCTTATCAAAAAGCTGATGAGTCTGCATTGTCATACTGCCCAGAAAACTTAAAAAGAACTTTAACAAATAATGAAAACCATTGTGAAGTAACTTCCTTCAAAAGTAGTCACTTCTGAGTGGGTAGAGCTACAGTTTCTGAATTCATTCAGACCACTGCTGATGGTGAAATTGAAGCAAATTATGCCAAAAATGTCAGAGACCACTTTCAAGGTAAAAAAAAAAAAACCCTATTAATTTTTAGTTGATTTCTTTCTTCCTGTTATTAACCTTTAAAATATCTATTCGTTTTCTCACGAGGGAAAATTCCTTGGAAGCAACCTTCCCCGTCTATTTTGACCATCCAGGAGTCTGTACGAATGACCCTGCTGTGTGGCTCCCTTGTCACCAAGGTCAGAGGGATGCCAAAGGAAGCAAAGTGTGAGGAGGACCAAACAGCGAACTACAGGCTCGGAGAAACCTTGTATGACATCCCGACACACTGGGCAGGTGTGTGCTCTAATCGATTATACTTGTGTGTGTGTCTTTTTCAGATCAGGCAGCTTTGCACAGACACATACCGCTTTGAAATCAGACATGAATTGTGATTGTGACTTGCCAAGCTAGAGGATTAGGTAGCTGGAGTTTCTACATGACCCCTCAAACTCTACAGGGTGGACAGAAAGAGCCCTGCCCGTAGCCGATCGTAATCTCCGGAGGGTCTTCGGATGAGCCTTCGCGGTCAGTTCAGCCCAAGACTGCCCTCCCACAGCCGCAACCCACAGATGGCCTGTTTGCGTCAATGTCCCGCACTCACACATTCATGTCACTGAGGCCCAGCTTGCCATTGAAGTGTTTTCCAACATCGCAGCCAAACCACACAGCCTAGAAACAAATGGAAGAAGAATAAGGTCAACACAAAGTCTATCTTCTCATCCACTCGCGAAGTGACAGACGGTGTTAACCCCATGCAGAGGATCCCAAAACAATACCAACCTCTCCATCTTTGATGGAGGCAGCAACCATTTTTTTCAAGAAGTCAACAGGCTGGTTGTTATACAGCGTTTTTCTCCCTCCGACCATATTGCTTAAGTAGTCTACGGTGTAAAGTCTGTTGTACTTGTGCTGGGGCCGGGGGTCATTCACTAAACAAATCTGTTAGGATCAAGAAGACACTGATTACAACATAAAACCAAGAAATGTCGAGATAGACACATACCTCTACTTTGGGTTCATGACTGCCTCACGTTCATTGCACATGCTTTGATAAGATAACATGATCATTACACAGGTGTAGACACATGTGAAGGTCCTTCAATGTCCTCGTTAGTGCAAGAGGAAAGGGGCTTCCTCTTCTTCACTGGAACAAACGTGGGGGCCGCATCTATTCGTTTCTTCTGCTTGGCAGGAATTGCTCCAAAAGGAATTCTGGAAAACTGCATGACCAAGCAAGCCAGGATGACAATCTCATCACTAAAATATCCCTGTTCTCATGTGATGAGGTAGGGACAACACCCAGAGCTAGGACTTCGAAATCCTACAACAACAAAACTCATCTGCATAGAAGAGTCGAGAACCAATAAAGGAAGGAAGCTGGCTCCAGTCCCCTTGGGAGGCAGTAGGGAGAGCCTGAAGGAATCAAGAAAACCGAGGACAGGGCAGTGCTCCCTGCGGGGAGGGGATCGTCAAAGGGGCTCACAGCCCAGAGGTGCTCTGAACGCATGGTAAGAAACACCCAATATGCTTGTACTGTCTTTGCAGCTGAGAAAGACTCTTAAGTGACAACTGGGGAAGCACTGGGGAAGTGAGCTGCTTGTCCTGCTGGCCCCGAGTTAGACACGGCTCTGAAGAGGAGTACTGGGCAAAGTGGTAGGTCCCAATACGGCATAAAACCCTCCAGACCAAGAAGAAAGAACTGTGTGCTTAGTGTTGCGTTTGATGGTCTGGCAAGTCCACGCAGGAGCCTTCTACCCTCCCTGTAGGCAACGAGTTCTTGAAAGCAAATGGCAAGCAGCTAGCCGCCCTCGCGCCGCCCACCTTGTCCTCCATATTGAAGAGCGGCTTGACGTGCTCTCTGTAAAACTCCAAGGGTGTTATGGGGCCAATCTTCTGATAATTCTTATCCTTGTCTCGATACTCCCAGGTGAATGTCTCTGGAGGATTACCCAAACAAATACACACCACTCGGAATATCTGGAAGAGAGGAGGAGGGCAGATGAGCAACAGTGGGGGGGAGCAGTTTTTGCACATTTGGGGGTAATTTTCTTCAAGTTAGGGATATAAGAAATCAGTGGCTCGACTGTCAGAAATTCCACAGGAAACCAAACCTTACTCTGAAAATCAGAAGGTTCATGTCCAATATTTGATATCAGCCAACTTGTGAGATCTCACTCACATAAACATTTCAGAACAATGCAATTCTGAAATGTTAATATTTACTGTGTAGTATTTGCCCTGCAAATTAAACTTCCTTTCCCAAGAAACCACCTACCATTGATACCAACAAGATCCGGGTGGCTGTCTGTGGATTATTTTCCAAGTGATAAATAATGTCATATATCTTATAAATAGATTTCCTTCCCTTCATGCATCTAGGTTTTCCTTTCATTGTGTCCACGAACTCTGCTCACTGAAGTTAGTATGTTTTCGGATGGAACTTAGATGAAAATGTCTGTTAAAATTATTATTAGCAGAGCAATCACGACAGGGACGCTACGACCGCCGCCTGGGCCCTCCCTCACCACGTTGTCCCGGCTGGTGCTTTCTGAAGAACGCGGCTCTCCTAGGTCCAGGGGCACTGCAAACCACAAGGATGTGTCACACAGGGCAGCCACCTCTTCCTGAATATGGAGGAAAAGTTCGCTTCGGGCTGATCCCTGAGGAATTCTTCCAGTTCCTTTATCCTAAAACTGGGGTCACAGGACCTTCCATGCTCGGAACTGGGCTCATTTTATATTTTCTGTGCAAAGAAATATATGTGGTCACCGCAAAAACGTTCTCAAGCATAGCAACAATGGGGTTGCTTGTCTATGGCATTAAAAAGTATGGTCCCTCTGTGGCGGAATTTGCTGATAAACTCAATGAGGAAAAAACTGCCAAGCTAGAAGAGACAAAGCAGGCCTCCATCAAAGGCATCCAGAGTACGATTGATATGAGAAGGCCCAGCAGGCCCTGGTTCAGAAATGCCACTGCCTTTGTGATGTTCAGAGGAATAATATCGCCATGGCCTTGGAGGCTACGTACCGGGAATGGGCACACAGTGTGTACCAGGAGGTGCAGAATCGCCCGGACTACCCTATCTCTGTGCAAAATGTGGCGCGTCGAAAGGAGCAAGAGCACATGATCAGCTGGGCGGAGAAGCGCGTGGTGCAGAGCATCTCTGCGCAGCAGGAAAAGGAAACAATTGCCAAGTGCATTCAAGACCTACAGCTGCTTGCAAAGAAGGCTCAAGCATAGCCCGTTATGTAAATGTGTCTATACCGACCAAGACAGCCACACCTGACTAAATGGAAAAGTGTCTGATGAAGTCATTCTTCGTATAGTGCTGTCTACTCACGTTACAGTTTACCTTACTGAAAATGAAGTTTGAGTTAGATATATTCAGAGAATAAAACACTATCATTGGCCAGTAAAAAAAAAAAAAAAATCTTTTTGATTGTGGGACCACAATATTTTCTAATGGTGTTATGCCTTCATGAGACTGAAACAACCCTTCATATGAAAGACAAAAATAAACATCACAGTATAGAAAGTACTTTCTCTCCGAAATAAAATTTGCTTATGACTTAAAAAGAATAATACTATATTCTACTCCTCTTTTTTCCAGCACAGGCACCATATGGATCCAATTTTATCACTTATTACCTGCATTATTTGCATATTTTATTACAGTCAAAAGAAAAGTTTCTTAAAGTAGGTGTATCTACTTTGTGCTAGACAATATGTTCTGCTGTTTACTTATTCTCATAATACTCTCCCAAGGTATAATCCCCCATCTTCCCCACATCCTTCCCCCACCCCCCAGAAGAGGAGACTGAGAAAAAAGTAAAGTAACCCACTTCAAGTGAAATAGAGGTTAACAGGATCACCATCTGAATTGAGATCCCACGCTTAAACCAACAGTGAAGCCCGAGGGTGTGAGGTGAAAAGAGGGGTTCTGAGTATCTACAGGAGTGACCTACAATCTCCAAGTAAACCACCTCTGAACCCTCACAGTAGGGGTGATAGGCATTAGTTCCATTTGACTGACAAGGAACTGGAGGTTGGGGAAATAAGACGGCTAATCTGAAGCCACAAGGCCAGTAAATGGAAGAATTAGGATTTGAACTCAAATATAGATTAAGAAGTTCAAACTGGGTTTCTACTCTTTTTGAAAATGTCTTCAATTCTAGGTTATGTTCTACATGCTAGTCTGGTGAGTAGCAGCAACTGCGATATTAAAAGTTTGCAAGTGGCCGTCTACGAAACAACTAAAGAACAGCGAAGGAAACGGAAGACTGAAGGAAGAAACGCCACCACAGGACTAATGGTCCATGCGAACCGCAGCCTCTTTGAGCCCAAGACCAGAAGAGCTTACTACATGGTGCCTGGCTACCACTACTGACCATTATGACCAGGGATATAATAGAAGGGCCTTGTTGGAACCAAATCAAATTCATTTTTAAAAAGCCAAGGCCTACTGGATTGATGGAGACTAGAGAAATCCCTGAGACTACTACCCTAAGTCCCATGTTTTTAGTCTGGAATTGAAGCCGCTACCAAGAATCACCTTTCAGCCAAATAACAGCTTGGCCTATAAAACGCACGGTCACACCAAGGAACACCCTCCTTTACACCAGTAACGCTGACGCTGACACAGAAGCAAAGGTGAGATGGCAACAGGGCAGGGAAACGGAGGGGATGGCAACAGGCAGAAAGGGGGAGATGATGAGCAATGCCATAGGACAACTTGTTCTCTGGAATGTACATCTCATCACTATGGAAACTCACCGAAAATGTATATATTAAAGAAAAATTCCAATGGGGAGCTCTTACTCAATATGTGGAATCGCTTCTCGGCCTTTTGGCTAAGATCAAGTGTAGTATCAACATGTGGAAACAATGTTCTCCTATGTGTGAGCTCCATTTAACTCAAACATGCTAGCAGTACCATGCATCGTTTCGGACACATTATGGATTTAAATCTGCCATATGACAATTACAGGAAGTCACCATCATTAAAAATGGAACTATAAATTCCATTTCTAATTCAGGACCTCTCTCTCCTTTGTCTCTAGTTTAAGCAAGAGCAAGGATTCCTGAGATACATGCATTTAAACATTGGCAAATTGGGTCTTGGAATGACTAAAGTCTCAATTTTGTGTTTCCCCAATTCTCCCTTCATACATTTTTCCATCAAATGTATTAGATTCTGTTGCTAAATTTCAAGAAGAGGTGTGAAATATGGTTAAGCTAATCCCACCCATGTTATAGAGTCAATCTTGGGAGCAACGGAGCTACTTCAAGTCACGTCCTACTACTTCTCTGGGCTCTCTATCCCTCGGCTCTCACCAGACAAGATGCCAGATATCACAGATTACGTGAGCCACATCGCAGGGGTGTTCTAGAAGCAGGCAAAAAGCTGAGAGATCAAAATGAAAGTACAGCCCAGTGTTTCCCAGAGTGGGTGATACCGCCCTGGGTGGGGTGGGTGTAAGAACGATCCAGAAGGGCTGCAATAGCAGGTCACTACACTTTACCCTGGATTATGGTCTATAGTGTGAACGCTTGTAATCGCCAGGGGGGCTGTTGAGTAATTTTCTGAAAAGGGGGCAGTAGGCCAAATAAGTTGGGGAACCTGTGTGCTGACCTTATCTTCTCTTAACAGGCTCCACTTCTGAGCAGTGTGCGCTAACCCCTAATTTACTCTCCTCTCCCTTCAAGATTTCTGCCCCTCGTTCTCGACCCGGTGCCATCAAGTCGATTCCTGTTCATGGAGAGCCCAGAGCCGCCAACGAATCACTCGAGCCTGTGCCTGCGTGGCTTCCATACCTCCACCCAAACTCTCGATCACAGAGCCTTTAAGAAGCTTATTTCTTCACACGCCCTGGGCATACCTGAGCTATTTGTGAGTCGCCAGAATTTCTTAGACTGCCGTTTAGGGAAGTTCCTCAGTTTCCTAGTCCTGACCTGGCATCTTCACGCACCCAGAAACCCCTCCTCTAGACGCCCGATTCTCAGTCTGGAGCACATGTCCTCAGAAACCACTGTAGCTGCCTGGTGATCACTTCTCCTCATCCTCAGGATAGGCCAGGCCTCCAAAGTCTTGGGACAGGATGGAAGAAAAGGGGCACAACCCCTAAGCGCATGGTCCCCGTCACTGTGGGAGCCAAAGCTAGGAACCAGAACAGGCTTGGCTATGGTGTTAGGCTGAACGGAGACTCGAAGTCGTGTGTGATTATGGGAAATAGCCCCTATTTTTACCATCTTAATTAGCTTGCCACGCACTGTTTTGTTCTGTTTTCTGCAAGAAAACCTTCCTTTACGAGGCAATTTATTCTACGTTCTATGCACCCGAGTAGTTGGTCCCTACACGTGAAGCTGTTCCACTCTCAGGCTCTGGCATTTCTAAAGAGAGACAGCAATAGCAACGGAGTCACCAGGAGTCGGGATCGACTCCATTGCAGGGTCTGGTTTTGGAGTCACGGGCCAATGAGTTCTGTTTGGGATTCACACGGGCCAGAGAGTTCCTTAGAGTTGTTCAAATTTAGGAATCTGCCATGAGGAGAGGGCAGTGCCACCGGTAACGATAATCAAGACAAGGAAAGTGCCAGGGCATGTGGAGGTGTGGAGAGTTTTAGACTTCAAGGACGGGCTTTCTCAATCCGCGTTTATTGTCACATTTGCACCCCTACGTCAGTCAGAGGGACATTGACTTTACTTGTCCAAGGGTGAGGCGGTCAGCCCCTCCAGGCCCTCGTCAAGACAGCAAGAGACAGACAAAACACTGGGAGACGGGGTAGGAGCAGGCGTGGGAAGACTCAGAGCACTGGGTGAGCTTCTGTCCACCCATGGACACACTGTACAGATAACTCTGGATGCGCCCCCTGTGCTTTACATAGACCCTTCACTGTGGGCCTGACTCCCTAATTGAGTCCACATTAAAAAGCATCAAACCACTCCTTCTCTCTCTGGGGCAAACTGAAAACATCCTT